GCTAAACTAACTAGCAGACACTGTGCAGAAAATCAGTGTCGTTCAAAACTTTGCCTTCTGTTTGCTGATTGGTCCAGGTAAAATAAACAACTAGCAGACACTGTGCAGAAAATCAGTGTCGTTCAAAACTTTGCCTTCTGTTTGCTGATTGGTCCAGGTAAAATAAACAACTAGCAGACACTGTGCAGAAAATCAGTGTCGTTCAAAACTTTGCCTTCTGTTTGCTGATTGGTCCAGGTAAAATAAACAACTAGCAGACACTGTGCAGAAAATCAACATCGTTCAAAACTCTGCCTTCTGTTTGCTGATTGGTCCAGGTAAAATAAACTACAAGCAGACACTGTGCAGAAAATCAACGTTCTGTTCTCTGATTGGCCCGAATGAAATGCTCCCGAAGAAATTCTTGTCTATGGGAGAAATCCCAGACGGAGCAGTGAAGGGAAACTAGAATTGAGTGGAACTGAGTAGGGAGGCAAGGGCCAGGCAAGGTCAGAAGACCAACTGCTTGGTTTTCATTCATGCATGTTTTTTTTAGTTTCTGTAGCAAACTTTAAAATGAGCACAAGTTCAGACAGTTCAGTGAGCTGAAAATTAATATTTCCTGTGCCTCCCATCCCCATTGCTTGCCTGCAGGTCTTCCCTGTGCCTGTCCAGACCACTTCATCCCAGTTTGTGCCTCTAACGGGCAGACCTACCCCAGTGGCTGCGTGGCTCGCTGTATGGGCTTCAGGGATCATCAGTACGTCTTCGGCCAGTGCCACATCAGCCACCCCTGCACCAGCAAAACCTGCCAGAAACAACAGAGGTGAGCTCAGAGGTCTTCCCTCCCCCGTCCCTTTTTTTTTTTCATCTACCTTGGTTGACTGACAGCCAGCTTGTTGTTTCAGGTGGCTTTGGTTGTCTGAGCAGGCCTCGGGGCTCGGTTTCATTCACAAATCTTCGTTTATCCCCAGGCCCCACTCCTCAACCCCTCTGCTCTCCAAACATGTGCCGTGACCCTGCTGCTTTGAAGGCTTTTATCTCGGGACACAAACACAAATCTGAGAGAACACAAATGACTTGTGGAATAACAAGAAAGAGGCCTGAAATGAGCYGAAATTAAAAGCAGGCAGGGAAGTTTGTTTCTGAACGACAGAAAGATTGAAGAAGTTATTTAGCAGTATATAAATATCAGTCACCTACAACAACAGGAACATTTGTTAAATGTTTATTACTATCATTGTTGTAGGACCGCTTGATCTGTCAGTAAAGGGGACATATCCTGCAAAATCCAGTTTTTTAGCCGTTAAATACATTTTGTTGTGTAAGTGCCTTCTTCGTTTTAGCTTTGTTAAAATAAAAACAAAAAGTAGAACAAAGAACCGAGGATCTGTTCTCCCAGCGTTGACATCCTTTGGCAGCATCTCAGGGCTCGTTCATAAATCAGTTCAGAGCTCAGAGGATTCACGTGACATGACGTGTCTTATGAGCGAGTCTTTCAGTGTTAAGAGTCAGTGTTATTGAAGAATGTGTGTTTTACTGTCTCGCAGCAGGTTTTGGTCTCCTCACATGTAAAAACAGAAGAGTTTGCGTCAACGCGTTATATGTGGTTTGCGTGTTTCGTCAGGTGCCTCCCGAAGCATCGGGTGTGTTTGAGCTCATCGGACTGTCCGCAGTACGAATGCGTGACCATACCCAGGACCTGCAATAAGAACGTGTTTGAACCGGCCTGTGATACAGACGGAGAATCCCACAACAACCTGTGCCTCCTGCTGCAGGAAGGGAAGACTCTGGCCTACATGGGAGAGTGTCAGGTGGGTAACACCTGTGTGTGAGTGTGTGTGTGTGTG